TCAAAGCAATTGGACTTGCGGTTTTTAACAAGAAGTCGAAAATTTAATTTTTTACCAAAAATGACAAAAATATTCACCAAAATTAGAGAATTGAAGATATCATCATGAAATGAACAAATCTGAGAGAGGTCTACCCAAGGTACATATACACCAAGTATCAAAGCATTCAGGCTTGTAGTTTTCAAGAAGAAGTCGAAAAAGTAAAACATTGACACGGACGACGGACGACGGACGACGACGACGGACGACGACGACGGACAATCACTCATATGATAAGCTCCGCTCGACAAAGTCGACAGCGGAGCTAAAAAAAATCATTATTTTAGGCATAATTACTGTGTTATGACACTTTAAATACACATCTTACATCTATACTCAAGTACACGAATACATTGTAAACACTTACCTGTACCATTCGGTGTAGCCCTCACATGGGTTGGAAACATTTTCACACTGGCTTTACTATTAGTATCTTTACAAAGTCCTTTAATTAATTCTTTTGATAAACATGATTTGATATTTTTATAGTCATCTAATGTCAGCCTGAAAGGCTTCAAAATGGACTCCACCTGCATAATAAATCAAATGTGACTTTAATTTCCTCACATCACACCATATACCAGTAATAGTATGAGCAGTGATTAGCTACCGTACACCTTTATCTTGTTTATTTTTAACAGCTAAAATGAGTTGGACAATATCTAACACCTGAAATATACAACACATTGATTTCACTAAATTTCTGGGTTTCAATAATTTTGATTTTATACTGTGATTTTTAGTTCAATTTAAGTAATTTGTTAAAATAATGCAACACAACGTAATAGATACTGCACTAGACTAGATGCCGCCTATTATCGTGAGACTTTGTGGTCTACGTGTTTATGTTAGGATTCAACATGCCATTCTTGAATGCACAGGGAAGGAGAATGGCTAGATTCCAGGGTAATACTGCACATACATATCTATCTGAAATAACCATACTATGATAAAACAAGATAACAGCTGGTAAGTGGGTGGATTTTGCAAGTTAGGTCATCACCATAGTAACATGAAAGATATCTCAATACTGATAGATATCTCAAATCCATCTTTCAATCTTGTGACAACATAAAAAAAAAGCTGTATCCCTCATAGTGAGGCTATTGATAGCGAGGGTATCGAGAACGCAGCGAGAAAACAGATAGAGCTAGCTATGTATAAGTATTGTAAAAAGTGTAAAAATGAATTAACCACGAGCCCCCTATTTTTCAAATGGCAAACCCTTACAGACATCCCAAAGTTTTCTATAGTTTTCTAGTTTATCAATATTTGAAATAGAAAAAAAAACTTTCAAAATTTATCTTGAACCTGTTATCACATTTTCGTTAATTAATTGTCTCAATGTGTCAAGATATAAACAGACAGCAAAAATGATAATTAAAGAAGTGAATGAACTGTACTTCATGTAATTATTTTTAAATTGAAGATGAATATAATCTATTAATAATTTTTCTATTTTTTAAGGATCTTTGAAATGCTGCCTTCAATATTGATGAGTTTTGATGAAGATGGTTGACAGTCACGTAGTACTAAAATTTATGGCGACTTATCTGTATCATATTCATTGAAAAGAAGATATAATAATATTATAAGGTTATTACGAAGATACCTCAAAATATGCACGAAGACAGTACAGCTGCAGTATAGATCGACCCGCAGCAGAGGTCGATGTGACAGCCTACTGTCTGAGAGCATACATTGAGGTATCTGCGTAATAACCTTATTATTATACATCTTTTCCTTCAAAGGATACATCATGGGGAATGCCGAAATCTAAAAAGTTGAGACTTGCATGGTACAGTTGAGTACAATACAATACACTAGCTACTATTGCTAAGAAGTGAAAAATACTGGTTTTTACCAAAACCTTGCGTGATTTTTACTACATATTTTATTTATTTGTTCATGCAATCTGTATTTTTGGGTCACAAGCCTTTGACAACAATAAAGACCTGATGACATATAGATATCCCAAAGCAAGGTCACTGTAAATGACAATAACATTTGCATTTATTCGATAACTTGTTTAATATTAAATCAACAATTGCAGCAATGTGTACTATTACTAGCTAGATTTTGGCTTCAAAGTTTAAAATTATTTCATTTAAAAAACACAATTTTAAGAATTGAATAGCAAATAAATGATTGTATGCATATGAACCGTATCTATAATTTATACGATGTGCCGCATAAGTGACTCGTGTCACACGTGGCAATGTGCTCCCGTTCAGTAACACACATGTACCGACAGGGGTTGTCGGAATGGCTGAATGGATAGATGTCACTCGTTTTTTAATCGGCTTAATTAACGTACCTGTATTTTTATAATTGTAGAAATTATACAACCGTCTTCGCTACGATACCGGTATGTAAATTATATGTAAAACATCAGATGACAAAACTAGCACTACAACAGGCGATCCGACGTTCATTTGTCATTGTAGCATTATATTTTCACTTACCGTGACGTTGGAACAGGACATCATGAAAGACGGTTCGACACCGAACAGAATATCCCGTTAAAACTAAGGGGTGTTGACTGGGATGTACGAGGGCTGTCCTCGGTCATGTGATAGTTACAACTTCAATGACTGTGGCCGTGGATACAATGATGGAGACTAACGGGCATAATTATAGCGTAGGATTGGAGATCCACATGAATTGGCGTCAGATTGGCTATTTGCGCATGTGTGTGACTCATCTACGCCACGTTGTTGTACTGTAAAATACTTTATTTTCACTATTTTCGCTTAGCGTTTTGGTACGAAAAAGCGGCCATTTAATATATTCTAAAACAGTGAAAAAAAAGAATAAATGCTTTCTAAATTACGTGTGTGAAATTGTTTCGTCTTTTGTACGGAAACCAATATCATACTTTTAGTAATCCCCTGTCTATTCGTTAAATCTTCATATCATAAATCCGACGCCATATCTGAAGCCAATCGTAGCACATTTTGATTCCTCTAATCTACGAAATTATCCATCAAAAGAAAAAGATTGGTACGGCCACAGTTGAGGGACTGTGGTACGGCATATGCCTGATATGCACTGTAGAACATACATGAATCACATACCAATTTTACATGTGCTGCGCCCATGAATATGTGTCGATATTTTGAGCCGGTCATTAAAACTGTGTGAATACTTTGAAACTTCGTTCGCATTGAAACTTCGTTGTAGGATATTAAACGAGAATAGCAATTCATTCACCGTTAGGTGTAACACGGTTACTTCTGTTACCAATTCCATGGGTGTAACATCTTTAGGATGACAGCATATGTCTACGGAACTGCCCCCCCCCCCACTTACTTCCACTGAACTCTCTCTTCACTTAAAAAATCAGTACAGGCAAGCGTATATAACTTGATACATTTTGTGAGTCATAAACCCCGCCCATTAATTACATTAGCTACTAAATATATTTATAACATTAAAGGGCGGTGGTCGTCGCGCCGCGTCCTGTTCGATATGGGACTCATAGTGACGTATCAGAGCGCGGGTAAAATAAGGATATGATCCCAGCATTTGAAAATAAACCTGCAGAGAAAAAAATCATGGAATTGTTACAGAATGAAAACATTATTATACCAGTAGCACAGTTCATAAGTAAAAGCTTTGAAGTCAGGAAGCAGGGTCTTACTTGACATCTTAATGCCTGCTGTCAATTTTGTAATTTTATATTAGATTGTATTTTAGAGATTTTGTATTATTTAGTAATTTAGTGATTGTATTTGTTATTTGTTATTTAGTATATTGTGTTTTTGTTTTGTTTTTTTATATATATATATTTCTCCTTGTACTTTGTGACCATTTTCTTTCCCTCCGGGGATTGTGTAAGAGTCAATAAGTAAATAAATAAAATACACCTTTTGTTTACATGAAATTCGAACAATCGCTGCGCGACGACCACCGCCATAGCAGACATAGGAGACAATGGGACTTTGTGCGTAGTAATTGAAATTTACACTGTTTTTAGCATTGGTGTTTTCCGCGATTTAGCTAGACGATGGTCTAGATTCAACTATAGTTGCATTGATTGACTATTTAGAACTGGTGATTTTGGAATCATGGTTTCCCCCAATTTGTACACACTCTTTGTCGATTTAATATGCTAGACCGTCTAGCGTTTAGACCATCCGCATTCTAAAGTATTCGTTATAAACTGATTGGCTGGTAGCTTAGATATTCAGATCGTCAAAATTGTTTAAAAAAGATTGATAAAATTGCATTTCTTAGAATCAAGATTTATGTCTTCTAAATCTGAACCGTCAGCTATAATGTAAAAATTTTGAAATATATGTGCTGACATTTGTAATTTAAGTTTCTAATGTGGCATGTCCAAGAACTTTATTAACGTCTTTCTAAACCACAATTCATATGACTATAATATGTATTAAAGCGGGGGAGTCGTCACCTGCGCATGCGTCAGACGGCCGCATGTCATTCTTTACAAACAAGCGTCTACCCTTGACCCTTTGCGTTTTTAGCGAGTGTTGTATCAAGGGGAAATTCTCTCCTCTGAGGGTCTCCACACGTGTCAGGGGGAATCTCGTCTCGTCTCTCTATCGCGTCCCCCTGAGGTACGGGATCGGGAAAGTCACTTAAACTTTACAGTCAAATAGACGCACACAACAAAATACGTTTCAACTTTCGTCTTAGTCGGTCAGTCGAGCACTCTATAAAACACAGCGCCCTGGGGAAAAGTCCCCAAGACTATCGCAAGGCTGACCCAAGACTCGCCCAAGACTCGCCCCAAGACTCTCTTAGACCGCGTCTGTCCTGGTGTACTCGCCAAGACCAACTAAAACTCTCTTTATTCACTTTCAAAACCTTAACCAATTACAAAGCAGTATTAAGACTCTAAGGCGTGGCCTTCACACATTCAACTAATCACACTAAGTACTGAACACGTCATATCTTTTGATTAATCGTTCACTACATTACTAACTGCGAATACCAACTGTCAGAAATAATAGTCCGGATAGCGACGGTTATATCGTAATTAGTTCCAAATCACTGAACCAAGTTCCGTCCAGAACCTCACATGGGCCTAAACACAGTCCCTCTATGATAGAGGGACTGTGGCCTAAACGATGACAGACACAACACAGCCATTCGCTAGTAATCAGCTAATTAAGTCGATTAACAGATACGTGCAAATAATTTCATCATAGTAGCTTGGGACTCAATTACCGCGCGTGCGCAGGTGACGACCCTCCCGCTTTTAACTGTTACACAGTACAAAACTACATAAATTCCTCCCTCATTTGGTTGACCTTGTATATATATTTTCCAAGATTTGTAAGCAATGTTCCCGAGTTGAATGTCATTACATTTTAAAATTTGTCACGAGTAGAAATATGCCATAAATATTTTGTAATCAATGTGGTTCGTGAGATGTAAAGGGCACCCGAGAACGAAATGATATATGACAAGTGCATATATGTGATTTAATAACATTCGTGATTAACATACTTTTGAAAATAAAATACGTAGCGCACACTTCACTGAACCACTCTTGTATATATCAATTAGTTACCCGCTGTCTGAAGTCCGCCATGAATAACTTTTCCTACATTCTTTGCAAACCACATTTATATGAGACTCATATATCTCGCACATGCACAGCGCGGCAACTACCGCGCTTTAAGCTCACCAGCACCAGTCTGGCGAATCCAGAAATTCGAGCCGGTAGGGGGCGCGCTCCTACTGATGAGGCCGGAGTAGACTTTCGGTAGGCTGGGTTTGTCAATTGTTTTGTCATCTTTCCTCCTAAATCCGCGCGTGAAGCGAGATTCATTCAGAGAAGTAAGACTCCATCATTATCTATATTTATAAATTTTACATATTTACCGATTTGAGTTTTCCTGGCCGGCCCTCAACACCATGTTGTGTCGGGGAGGGGGCACTTAACCTAAGACTGGTCAAAACGAGTGCTACTGAGTTTTCAAAAGTGTGAACGTTTTTATGCCCATGTATTTAAAAATTCATCACAATATTTATACCAAAGTACATATTTTGCAACCTATATTTATACCAAAAACTATAGTAGTTTTAATGTTATTTAATTTTTCAAATGGGTAATTATGGTCTTGTGACTGAGACAATTTAAGCACAGGGAGCCCAGGAACTATAATCAACTGTAGTACGCA